ATGAAAAACGCAAGTTGAATTTCGTCAATCGCCTCAGTAGAACAGGATATGTAGAACTGTCTCATTTTTTCCCTCAGTGTACATACATACATGTATATACGTTACATACATACATGGATGCATGGTCTCACACACATGTAGATTCTTCCCTCACGCACGTATAGATGCCTCCAAATACACCCATATAGATTATTCCACACACACGTACACATAGAATCTTAATTATTTAGTAATATATAATTGTGAAAAACAAATAATCCTTTACTTCATCGAGAAAACAAAGATTTACAAGGTAGGAAACAAAAATAGTTTGAAAGGGTAAATCTTGAAAGTATAAATAATAGATGGGGAAGGACAAGAAAATCTTTTGAAGCAAATCAAATGTCACTAGTATTTAGTTACAAGTGATGTCTTTTGGTCGATAACATAGGTAGATACAGAGGTCTCTGGCTTTAAATAGATAAATAGGCGCTTGTTTGGCTGTAAATTCCTCTTACAGGCGAGCAGTAGCAATATTGAATAAATGTTATCAAATTTGGTTACTGACTTTGCCTCTTCATTCATTTTTATTTTTGATTGTTTACGGAATGAAATGATGTCTTAATTTGCTCTGAAATATTTAAAACTGAGTATTTAAAATGTTTAAAATGAGTATTCATTTTTTTAGATATAGTTTAATCTGAAAGAAATAGAAGAACGCTTGGATCATGTGACTCTTTGACTCTTTGATATTCTAGAATTGAATAAACGGGTAAAACAATTTCGCATGGGCGGTAATCAATGAAAGATGATTTCCTTGAAGGTGTATCGTTGGAAGCATTAATATCGGAAACTATTGCTCTTGACTAGCAAGAAGTACTACATGATGAGAGATTAAAAGCCAAGGACATAACAGCAATCAATTTATCATATATGCACAAAGCAACCGTTTTAAGCATTCTGAATGATCATTTTCATGCGAACAAAATCTCTTCTGGATGGGTACCTGGATTTCTTTCGACAGTTCAAAAACAGCAGCGTGTAGTACAATTAAAAAAAAGTATAGCTTAAGGAAACTTAATCACCGCCTCTAAGCACAGATTTATCTCCTCGTACGCGTTTTGTTATGCAAAACTAGATGGTTAGATTAAGTTTAATGAAATTAAAAATTTAATAGGTCAAATTAATTAAGAGAACCATTTTAATTTAATTATTCTTAATTATTTGAATATATTTTCATTTTTGAAAACAGTATTTAAGTATCGCCGTCTAAGAAATAACACGCCACCTAAAAGCAAGAGATTTCATTATTACATTGCTACCCCAAACTGTTTTGAAAATTGGCAATATTGTGAGTAATTTGTTATTTTATAATCAGTTACAAAAAATACTGAAAATATTTAGAACTTAACAGAATACAATGAAGAACTTGACTGAATACAATACAGATCTTAGCAGAATATGATACTAGGTAACAAAATTAACTGCACTTCTTAAATTTGATTTGAAATAGAAATAGCATGATTTCAGCGACGGTCGATAATATTTATGGGTGAAATTAAAAAAGTAAATTAGAATTTTGCATTCTTTGAGTTGTAACGTTGTGAAAATATTTTAAGTAGCAGTAAACATTTATTATGTTTATATAATTGTTTTAATTATAACTTAATTATATTAAGTCTGAATTATAACAACGTTCTGATAAAAACATTTCTTTAAAGGTGTAGTATTAATATTCAATATTTGAACCCTAAGGCGAATGAATGTTTTGTTAATAAAGTAATTCTGATTTCAAAATAACGAAAACCATTAGAAATTACTAGTTTTATCACATCTATATACTAAGAAGGTATGAGGGGGAATTTATTAAAATATGATGACGGAATTATAAAATTTGAGTGAGTTCTAAATTATAATATTTACTGAAATGAAAGCTGAAACAGTTTCGTGTGTCATTTAATAAATGTTTCGTGTGTCATTATATTTGAATTTAAACATTTACGTCAAATTCAACTAATTATTTTCTTACTAATTAGATATATTGTCGTAAATAAATACATTTTGGTACTTGGTAATCTAAATTGAACAGACTCTTCACTTCCTTATAAATCTGCATGAATATGAAATAGCACACGATAAGCAAAACTTGAGAAAAAAAAAACGTTATAGTTGGTGAGACTTGCAGTCGATTTCATACTTATATAAGGGAAACATCTATGGTTTTACATCGTCAAGTTACATATTAGAAATCTAAAAAAAACTAAGATAAATATTACGTTAATCTAAAAATTAATCTAAAAAAATAAGATAAATATTACGTTAATCTAAAAATTAATCTAAAAAAAAAATAAGATAAATATTACGTCGTTCAGACAATTAATTCAGATTAATTCAAGAATATGAAATAAGTAAAGAGAATTATAAACTATCTGATTTTTCGTAGCAGCAAACGTAAATCCATGTCGTGATGATTCATCGTCCGCCACATTTAAGGTCGGGTTTCATTGTAAAGATCATTAAGTTTCTCAAAAGAAGTAATATGAAAACCCAAGAGCGCTTTTGCAGAAATTCGAACCACTGATCTTCTACTTGCTAGCTGGATGTGATAACCACTTACATTATGACAGCATACAAAGGAGAAAATGCGGTAATTCTGGGTAGCTGTGAGTTATCCCATCGCTGATATGATGGCGTCTACTTTGGACTTTGATAGTAGATATATTCCGTGAGGTAAAAATTAGAAAAGAATAGTACAGTTTCTGCTCGGTATATGTTATTAATCCATTTAAGATGTTTGGAAGATACAAAACGAATTTTTTCAGTAACAAGTAAAGGAAAAATAATCAGTTCTTTCTTATCCTATTGTTATTAACATAGCACTCAGTTTAAAACTAAAATTAAAATGCAGTGAGTGAAGTACGTACTTCATATATATATATATGAAACAGTGCACAACAGTGTACGTACTTCATATATATATATATATATATATATATGAAACAGTGTATATAAATATATATAATATAAATGTGTATATAATATAAATGTTTTTCTGCTATCTTTGAACACTATCATCAAAAGTAGCTTATCAACTGTTCTACCCCATGGATTTTCCACATTTTTCGTCCCATGAACCTTTTCACCATTACTAGAACATCATCCTCTCCTTCCTTTCGAAAACTCGAAATATATACATATACATTTATTTAAATTTAGATTATTTTTCAATGTGTTTCATAAATTAAACATGAAAATGTTAACAAATACCAAAATATAAAAAAAAGATACGAAAACCACAAAATCATTTGAAAATTCGGTTATTTATTTACTGAGTAATAGCAATACGCATACTGATCATCAAGGGTAGTCGTAGCATTGTCTCCAAAGAGGTAAAAAAGTGTAGTGATTGAATCCGATAAAAAAGTGTAGTCATTGAATCCGATTCATATTCCATACAAATATTGCATAATAAATAAAACGTTTTGAGTCCAAGCAGGATGTGTACCATGTTGGACGGAATTCAAAGTGGACATGTTACCTAGGTATCAGTGTATGTAGTACATCATACATGCATAGCACATCAAGTTCGAAATTACTTACCTGTATGCAAATAATACCCGCTCTTTGTACGGGGCTCACTAAGTTAGCCAATTTTATTCCAGGTTTTATGAACGCTCCCTTATCTTTTCGTAATATCAAATGTAGATTCTAAGAGAATCTATTAAAAGTCAACATTCCATTATATAAGGGCCATAAACTCCATACACGAAAATCGCCCATTCACTTTTCTTTTTTGAATAGGACTCCGCATTAAAAAAAAAAAAAGAATTCATACATCTGCTTATAAAGGAAAATTGTTTAGGAAACTGTATACCTCAGATTTTATATGTATATACTATATTCCATAAAAGGTCTATCCTTTTTACCGCCCTTAAAAATTATTCATGAATGAAAGGTTTATAGTTTTAGACAACATAAAAGGTTTCTCTTTAAAATGTATCATATTTTACTTCGGAATATTTTTCTTTTCACTGATTTAATATTATTTTCATTTCTCGAATATAAACCCGCATATTGTATAAATAGACTGTCAGTCAGAAAACGTTAAAAATTCTATTATTTAATTTAACCCATTCCCTGCCATGGGTCCCATTTGGGGATCACGAAAATTTTTATCTTGTTCATCCCTAAATTTTAAGTTTTCGTTTATTTTTAAAGTCATGTGTCTACATAATAGTCTACTCTTAATGTAGATAGCTAATTTATTAGTTTTATTTGCAAAATAAAATACATATATGACATTTTTCGAAAAAATTCCTGTAAACAACGCTTTTTCACATATGTCTATTTTCTAAGTGAATGTCTGTTAATTTATATTAAAATGAATTATTTTTTCTGACAGAGGTTGTTTGCACACGAGTTCTGAGTAATATAAAATAAAAATTGAGCACATTGTTTACTTCATGCCGTCAGCACCTGTAAAATACAATGATCCCCATTTGGGGCTCACGGTTATTGCAATGTAAAATGATTTATTTATGCTACAATTGAAATTTTCATTTGTTCAGTTACCTGGCGCAATATGTTTCCGGAATTTCCAAAAAGGCTGTTACCCACAAAAGTGTGGAATGCTTCCACTGACAAATATAGACTTGATACGGGGGGAAGGAAAGAAAGGGGGAGGAGTTCCAGAAAGAATGTTTCTAACGAAAATGTTTGAATTTGCCCACTAATAATAATAATAGAAAACAAGATGTGGGGGTGGAAATAAATAGCAGGTGTTCAGAGCAGGTGATTCTGAAACGCACCTGCTTCTAATTGGGGTGGGACGTCGCCAGTCCTTTTCGTCTATTGGGCAAGATATTTAAAATTTTAGAGCAGATGGACATGAACATTGTGCTGAGAAGTTGTGTCATTTAGAGAGTTTTATCCGCAAGATCAACATGGTTGGATTTTGATAAATGTCAGTATTATTATAATTTGTGTTTTTTAAATATTTTTTTTATTTCATTTGGATAATCATGAGTAGAAGAAAATTTTCAACGCTAAGAGAGCTTGAAGAATATTGGGACAATGATCTTGATTTGACAGATGATGATGACCCAGGAGGTACTATTGACATAGTTGAATTACCACCAGATAGAGCGGATGATGTGTCTGATTTAGAAGATATAGATGACAACATTCTGGAAGATACAATTCCAAACGATGTTCCAGGTTCATTAGAAATTCTTGGCGGTAGGTGTAATGAAAGAAGTTACTGTTCAAAGAAAAAAAAAAAAAAAAAAACCTAAAAAAGAAAAACCCATATCAAGGTGGAAAAGAGAAAGAGCATCATTCAACATTTCTAGTCAGGGAGAAGAAGAGTGCGAGGCAACGTAGAATGACCATGATAGAAAGAGTAAAAAGATAAAAGACCAGTAGAAATTTTTGAAATGTTCTTCACAGATGATCTAGTAAATCACATCGTACAGCAAAGTGTATCTTATGCAACTCAAAATAATCGTCACCAATTTACGCTCTCTTCAGACTGCTTCAAAAAATTTTTGGGATTTTTACTGTTAACTGGATATCACTCTTTGCCTCAAGAGCAGATGTATTGGTCAGAAGAAGAAGATATAGATATTGGAATTGTAAGGAAATGTGTGTCGAAAAATCGTTATATTGAAATAAAAAGAAATCTCGTGAAATTTCAGTGACAATACAAATATACCACTAATAAATGGAAATAAAGACAGATTATTTAAAATACGACCAATCTTGGATGAGCTGAATAAAGCATTTATGCAGTTCGGCGTATTTTCGTATAACATATGTATTGATGAACAAATGGTACGTTATTATGGTCATCATTTTCTAAAGCAGTTTATTAGGAAAGCCCATTCGCTTTGGGTTCAAGCAATGGGCAATGTGTTGTGGTGTGACCGGATTTGCTATAATGCTGACATCTATGAAGGTAAGCCAAGTAGAATTTCAGAAGAAGATAATTTAGAAGGAGATACTTATGGATTAGGTGTGTCAGTAATATTGAATGAGATAGCAACCATAGACAAACCAGAGGAACACTGCTTTATTTCGATAATTTTTTCACAAGTTTTGATTTGCTGAAAAATCTAAAAAGAGGAAAATATACCTGCGACAGGAACGGTGAGATTGTAATAGGATGAATAAGTGCCCTATAAAAACAAATAAGGAAATGAAGAAAGAATTTAGAGGGGCTTTTGATTATAGATATGATGAAATAAATGGAAATATTTGGTCTTGTTTGGAAAGATAACAGCATTGTTAAAATGTTATTCAATCATTTGGAAGTTTTACCTTTGGGACGTGTGCCGAGATGGTCTAGGGCTGAGAAAAAAAAATATTAATTCCACAACCCAATGCCATTATAAATTACTATAAGAACATGGGAGGTGTTGACAAGCTTGACTGGAATGTACAAAAGTATAGAATAAAAATTAGAGGCAAAAAATGGTACTTTCCTATTTTCACTAATGCAGTGGATGTGGCTCCAGTTAATGCTCATACAATATATTGTATTGCTAATGGAAAAATGCCGCTATTAAATTTCAGACGAGAAGTTGCACGGTTCTATTTGAATTTACATTCCGTGTCTGACCCGAAAAATTGTGGACGACCATCGTACAGTGTGAGTCACAGAAGCGCGTACCAGAAGACGTAAAGAAAAAATCCTCAAGGACATTATTTAGAAAGAACATTGGACGGAAAACAAAGAAATGTGCGGTTTGTAAAAAAATGTTCGGAAACAGTGCGTGAAGTGTGATGTAGGATTACACGTAGAATGTGTTATTCCATGGCACTCTTAAAAAAAATTTACAGTTATTACATGCAATGTACCGTGATCCCCAAATGGGGATTGATTTTAAATCCATAAAAAACATATTTTTTTTTTCTGTATTGTAAATTTAATGTACTGCATTGGTTTTTTATGTAATACGTTAACTATATATTAAAAATATTTAAAAAAATCTGGCAGGTTAATGGGTTAAATAATTATTTAAAAATTTTGTCACTTAATTAGAGCTTGAGAATTGAGATTTTTAAACAGGAAAAAAGTTTAATCGTTTAAGAAATCTATAATAAATTAAAGACTGAATGGTCTGAAAAAACCACTTTTAATTCTGAAATAATGAAATACAGACTTTTCCCACGACAACCACCTCTCTAAAATGACCATTGCAGTTTTAGGCAGATTTCTCATTAAAATGTTGTCCTCGAATAATGGATTTATTTATTAAATACTAGCTCTTTTTTACAAAATCATTTATTCTATTAATGTTTGGCAAACAATAAATTATAAATTTAAAACAAGAAATATTATAATTATTTAAACAATAAAGATAATAATTAAATATTATAATTAATTTTGGGATAATTCAATATTTTATAATTTAATTATTAATAACTAGTTATATTTTTAATATTTTTATAATTATTATAATTTTTTAAAATTTAAAAATATTATTTCAATTTAATAAACAATATTCTAATTAATAACAATTTTTTATAATTAATAACTATAATATAATTCTATAGCTATTATATAATCAATTGTTTTATATCTTAACATATTTTTTACATCTATTGCTTTTATGAATCTGTTATGCATCAACAACTTCCGACATTACATTCTGAGCTATTATGGAAATTAATGCGAAAAGAAATTTATTCCATTGAAGTGTTGTAATAATGGAATTTTCATTTGTTCCAATATTGGACGGTTTATATTTTATCGAAGTTATTACACATTCGGATTTTTCCCCAGTTTGCATCTAACGAGTGTTTTTTTAAAGTGTAATTATTTGCAATATGTAGAAGTCATGTTTTCCTGTTAAGTCCCATCGAGGCTTCTTGATGAATGCTTAAATTTAAATTGTGTTTATTTTGGTATTAATTTCGCTCTTGATGTAATTTCAAGGAAACACGTAACATGTAACTGTTCTAATAACTTAATATTTGCCGCAAGACATTATACACTGGCTTATATTTTGTTTGCACTTTAACAACGCTTTGATATATTTGTATTTACCTTGTACAGTCATTAGGATTTTTGAAGCAGGAAACATGAAAAATGAGCAATGCCCTCCTGAGGACATCTCGAATACGCGCCGAGTGTGCTACCGTTAAACCACGAAGGCATGCTAGAAGGAGGGCGAAAACACCTTGTATACTCCCCCTTTTAAAAGGCGACTGGAGATTAGCGGACCCAATAACCAAATCTTGATGATGAATTATTGTCCACCACCTTTTAGTTCGGGCACCACTTGTAGAGACGATATTTTAAATAGGAAACGTGAAAAATGAGCAATCCCCTCGCCGAGAGTGTGCTACCGTTACACCACGAAGGCATTTCCGGAGGAGGAAGAAAATGCCTAATACTTTGGAAGTTTGTTGCTTAAAAGGGTTATGGATTATGGGTTATTCAATTATGGCAAAGCATACGAGGGCTATCTGCCTAAAGGGAGGGATGCCTTCGTGGAGGACTTTCTAAGTGAAACTGGCTCGTATACACGTTACACATGGGGAAAACCACGAAAACGCCCATGCAGCCAGCCCGTTCGCGGGATTCGAACCTCGGACCGAACTACCAGTGTTCAGCGTCTTTACCGCTCGGCCGCTGGTGGGCCGTTTGTTGCTTAAAGAACTGAGGTTACGTGAGAAATTTTGCAAACGTTTACGTCTTTGGTACTGCGTGTTACTACTATTAAAAGTAAATTTGTATACATACATGTATTATGTAATTTCTACTGTACCTTTCCATTTATCTCTGATGATAAATTATGGAATTTTTGCTGCACTTCATTTAAACTTATTTCCTCGAATTATTCTAACTTAATTGCTTTATTACTTTTATGAATTTATGATAGATTGCTCGTGGCAATTTGAAAATGATATCAAAAATTGTAAACTTTTGAAATGAAGTACTCCGATCAGTTTTTGTCATCTTGAATCAAACTTCTTGTATTTTTGTTTTTCATAAACGAGTATTAAAAATTTTTCCAAATATAACTATAGGAACTAGGAGACCGCATTAAAAGATTTATTTCATTATTTGTTTCAAATTATTACTTTTTAAATTTGGCATTGCTAAAACAGGAATGTTTTCGTCATTTAAAATACTTCTATTATTAGAAGTGTATGACTATATTTAACGATTGCGAAAATAAAGGGCGGGTGAGGAGTTTTAAGCTGTGTAAGTATGGATACATATACATATATATATATATATATATAGAGAGAGAGAGAGAGAGATGTGTGTGTGTGTATACATATACTTTTGTGACTGCCGATTGCAATAAAAAAAGTTACCCATAGTCAGATGTTATAGCTGCCCGATACAAAAACATTTCTCTGATAATTGTTTTTAAGTTATACAAGATACATATGTACAGATCACGAAAAAAAAAAACCATTTGCCAAATCATTTTGGTAAAAAAGAGTCCTTTACTCTGTTTTTACGTAAAGACATCACGCAAAAAAATAGTCGAAACGGATTCGAGAACGGTCAAAATGGATATTTCCATTGAAATCTGATAACCGAAGACCTTTCGCAATAAAAACTTTCTTTGCTTCGTATAAGGAAACAAAAAATTGAAGAATTTGTGTGTATATATAGTTCCTATACTTTTGTGTAGATACGGCAACATATAGGGACAACGTATGTGTGTGGTAGCATCGTTAATACGTATATTCTGAATACATAAAGTTTTCCACTCGAACACCTTGAAGCCTCAAATTTGAATTGCGACTTTTTTTATTTATTTATTTCATGTTTTGTATGAATTTAATGAATACTTGATTAATAATTTCAACTATTCAAAGGAAATGTAATCGCATTCTGAAAAGGATAAGATATTTATTTTACATTTTATCAAAAATCTCAAAGATTTGAAAGAAATGTGTTGACTCTTCACAACGCGTAAGATATTTATTTGCCTTTTAAATCCAATAATAATAATTTTAAAAAATTCTCAGCGATTTAAAAGAAACGTGTTGCTTTGGCCCAAAAAATCCTTTTTTTTCTTCAACGCGGCAGTATAATTGCCATCCAGCAAAGCGTAAAAATTTAATATTTATTTCACATTTATTTCATTTTTAGTTAAGAAACCAAACGATTTAAAAGCAATAAAATTAATTTCTATTACAAATAATTATTAAAATGGATTGTTAACATCTACTCAAAATATTAATTTATCAGTTAGATATGTCTAGAAATTTTCATCTTACATTAGGTAAGGGTTATTCGTCAAGTGATTAGGTGGAAGCCAGGCAGTCACATTTATTTCAAAACTGTCATGTAGTCACAAGATATTTCTCTAATTTTACCCTAATCTGCTTGTCATTTAAATCTGTTTAATTTCGGATTGATCTAGACGAAATGAAACAATAGGGAAGATGTAAACTAAAATCAAACTGGTTAGTAAAATTTAAATGCAGGGTGATCATAAAAAAATTTCCCAATATATGACCCATAGCGACCTATCCGCTCTACCATTTGAAATGAAATTTCAGGTATTGTTATTTTGAAGGTGTGCTGCATTGTGAAGATTGGAGATGATTTAAAACAATGGAGCTCTCACGATTAATGTTACAGTGACACAAATTCCAAAATTTTTGAATGGCAACACTCATCTGTTTCCTGCGCAAACTGACAAGCACATTGAAAATCGATAAATGG